CTTATGATTAATAAACTTCCGCTTACATTTATATTTTGTTAAGAAGTTGTCAATAAAAGAAATCATAATTGTTACCTATTGACACTTTAAACTTGCCAAGTTTGCTGACACATGGAATTCAATTAGAATTGTTGTAAGAAAAGTACAAAACTGATAGGTGTAGTGATAATTTGTATTCACTAATTTAAAATCTTGAATTTAAATTTTTTGCTGCATTTGTATCTACATCTACAATTGTATCTACCTCCCTTTGTTAGGAAGTTAAAATAGAGACGAATCCATAATTTTAATTTGATGGGTTCAATATTTAAATTCGCAGACCTGGACCAAATAAACTCTTGAAACTATGAATACATAATATCATATTCTTTAAAATAGTAGTAAATTTTTACATACGTACAAATTCTCTTTTGAAGTTGTGGTTCAATTCAGAAAAAAATGGCAGCCCGGTGCACGGAGTATTCCGCATTTACGAGGGTCCAAGGAAGATTCATACCCCTAGGAATGTGATATAGACAGTCTACCCTAATGCAAGCATTGGTGGTTGCTTCCACAGCTCGAACCAGGGGCGGACCTAGTGCATGGACTACGGGTTCCCGGGAACCCAGTAAGTCTTGCGTAGACCCTGTATTTATATTAGGAAATTCACCAAATATTAGTAAATATCCGATTGTGAACCCAGTTATTATTGCATATTAATCTGAAATTACGGTAGGAACCCATAAGCCTCAAATCCTGGATCCGCCTCTGGCTCGAACCTATGATCAGTGGCGTAACCACATTCATTGAAGGGTGGTCAAATGAACACATTTCGTCGAAAAATTATACTGTGTATGTACAAAATTATGTTGTGTATATAGGTCAAAATTTATTTTTTATACGTATATATTAAATTTTGAATACCCTTCGTAAAATTCCTGGCTTCGTCACTATCCGTAATCATCTATAGGTCATAAGGAAATTATTTTACTGTTGGTCCGAGGCTCCATTTTTCTTGGTTCAATTGAACACTTAGCTAATAATTACATCCGTTACAAAGCTAGAGTACACATGCAACAAGTACGGGAATTACACACAAATATGTAACAAATGATAAAATAATGAGGACTAAAGAGTAATAAAATACAAGTGAAAGGCGCAAAAATGGGTTAAATTTGGAGTTTAGGGAAAAACGGTGGGGGGTTTTGCATCGTAGGAATAGAAATGTCGGGGTCCGACAGAGAGAGACCTTAGTCCGGAAATAACGGGTTGCATTGTCATTTTTACACACGTTCCCACTGTGGGTCACCCTCACATGCCACCATGTGAGAACCCTATGTTCTTTTCTTTTTTTCATTTCCACCCCCTTAATTTTCACTTTAATTTTAATTTAGGACTTAATAAATAAATTAAACTAAACTCAATCTTACTTGCATGGGCATTGTGTGTGTTTCACTTGCTAGCTTGGTAATTATCTAGTTTGGCCACTACATTTTATGAAAAAAGGTAGAAATGAAACCTCAAGAGCAGAGAAATTAGAAGGAAGTAGGCTCTACGATAGAATATTCTCGCATAGCTCCCGGCTTACCTAAACAACTGTTGGAGAGATGGTAGGCAAGCAGGGACGGAGGCAGAAGCCGAGCTAAGGATTCGATTGAACCCAGTATTTTTTGCTCAAATAGTTTATTTGTGTTAAGAAATTATACAAATATTAAATTTAAAATTCGGTCATTATCATTTAGAGTCGTTCTAAAATTCAGAACTCATAAAATTGAAATTCTAGTTCAGCATCTGCATGTGAGTGGACTAGGGTGAATTTGCTTGGTGTAGTCCTTAGAATGGCAACCATAGTTTTTAACAATAATTCTTTTTTACGTTCATAAACAACATAAATTCTGTTTATGTGAGTTTCACAAGATACAATCCGTTCTATATCCAAATACATGAGGATTTTACTACAATTGGTCAATTTATAAAATATTACTAATATTAACCAATTAGCTATTTGTAGCAAAAAAAAGGTCAAACTTTTACTTTCTTTTGAGTGGGTGTTATTAGAATAGATTGGGTACATCTTAAGGAGCTTGAATCTCAGTTTTGGAATGATTTGGTGGAGTTTTGAGGTGATATGAATTGAAAATTCGAAGTAGAAGATGGACATGAGAAAATTATATATGTATCACACTGTGTATCATTTGTGTATCACATGTATATCCATGTATACCTGTGTGAGATACATGCGTGATACATGTGTCACATAAGAATTTTTTGAACTCGATTTCGACTACGAATTTTGATACCAAATCAGTTCAAATCACCTCCAATCTTCCTCAAATATTGTATATTGAATTATCTATATGATTTCAATGAATTTCAACCACCCCCGTTGAGAAAGGTCTTTTTTTCCGTAGATTTTTGGAATCTTGTGTGTGTGTGTGTGTGTCTATATATATATATATATATATATATATATATATATATANTATATATATATATAAAATCACCTTATTTGCTACCTCATCCATGAAATTTCCTTTCTGTCTTGCATCTAATGTAGTTGATCATGCTTAAAATATGGAAGGAGATCTTTGCGTGTGATTCTTGGAGAGAAAGAACCTTATTTAGTTGAGTTTTCAATTTTTATATGTGCTTGGCTAATTTGCTCAGTTTCACTTTGGTTAATTTGACTGGATTTAAAGTATACGAAATAAGTCAAAAGTTCTTTTCACACATTGTAAAAATTAAATTATTTATATATATAATAATGTATCATTAATCTAATTTTGAGATGGGGAGTATTAGATAATAACACCTACAAAGTATTTTGTGGAATGAAAATCTCTAATAATCTAGTCAACAAAACATAGTAATTGATATCATATGCAATTTATTTAATCTAGACACATGTAGAAAGAAATAAATAACTTACAACAAAATCATAATTATTGAGAATCGTAATGTATCATAAGTCAATAAGTAAGCGTTCAAATTTCTTAGTTTTGATGTCTTTGTTTTTCGTTCCACTTTTGAATATATTGTTATACTAATGTTATCACTTCCACACACACACTCGTGTGCATTTTCAAAGCAGTTATAAATGTAGGACATATAGGACATATATTTCAATATAAAAAGTGCCCCCGTTTAAATATCAAAGATACACTATAATAATAGGCTGAAAAATATATTTTTCTTCATTAGTTAATATTATTAAAAAAAGTACTTTTTGAAAAATAAAAAAGAGAGAAGAATACAGTCAAAGGTCGGAAGAATATACAAATCCAGTATCTCTAATTATTTGCAATTAGAGGCGGGATAGAATTTGAATTTTATGGGTTCTAAATTTGCCGTGAAATTCATAGCTCGTCTTTAATATTAGGTTTGCAGTTAAATATTTATATACAAATTTAAAAAAATTTCTAATACAAATTACAATGTCTGAGCAAAAGTAACTGAATCTGACCGAACCCGCACCTAATAGACTCGCTCCACCCCTGCTTGCAACAATCAAACATAGAACATAGGACCCCTCCCATACCCTGCCAAGGAGAAAAATTGAAAAAGAAATAAAGTTCCATACCCCTAAGATAATAAAGTTTTTCAAGACTTGTCCCTATAAATATTTATTTAGGAAATTAGGTGTCAAATTGTGGGCATAACCCCTAATATAAGGCGCGTGGTGATGAAATTCCATTCCCACACAGATCTAAATGTGGGACCCCTAAGTATGATCCAAGTAATACAAGCATAGCCGTTTGATCTAGAAGGCTGCAATCCTGGCCGCATAAATGGTGATCATTTTATTCATTTGTTTGTTATCAAGTACTTATTCCTTTCTTCTAAGTACTACTGTATTTTATATGACAGTTTTGAGTTGTATAAGGGCTAAACTACTTAATTTTTGATATTATTTTGAACATAGAATTATTTAAAATTAAAATAAATTTTAATTATTTAAAAATTACATAAAAAAATACTATAATCGAATTATTTAAAAGAACAATTAAAAAAATTGTGGTTACAAATATTGTATAAAGTGTAATTGAGGGAGTAATTAAAATAAATTTTGGAAAAAGACTAAAAATAATTAATATTTTAAAATATACGTAATGACGATGTAAAGCATTAATCAACAACCAAATAAAAATAATAATTGACATGTTAAAGTATATTAACTTGCAAAAAATCTTTAACAATCAAATATAATTGAGATTCTTAATATTTTTAAATCTCAATATTTAGACATTACATAAAAAGTACTAATAATTCACTAAATTAATTAATTCGAACTTCTTTAAAATGAATTTTAAAAATCGTGGCTGAAAAAATAACCTGTTCGACTCTTCAAATGGTAATAGTATCACATAAAATGCAATAGAGACAATAACAAGAATAATTTAAGAAACAATTACATAAAGACCATTAGTATTTGAATTTAAGTTTAGTGTATTGATTGTGTATTAATACTGCATTCGTCCCATTTATGTGGTGGTGTTAGATTGAGCATGAAATTTAAGAAAGTAAAAAAACCTTTTGAAACTTATAACCCAAAACAAGCTATAAAAATTTGTGTAGCTTTAAATCATCTCATTAAGGGTAAAAACAAAAAGTTTAATATTAAATTATTTTTAATAATAAAGTATGATGTTCTTTTTGGAACAATCTAAAAAGAAAAATATGATACTTCATATAAATTGGGACAGAGAAAGTATTAATGGATAATAATCTGATAAAAATAGTGACTAGCAATATATTATATTATGCTGACGTGTAAAAAATTAGTATTACATGCGAATGTAATATATAATTGAATTCTTTAATAATTTTAATTTTGTTTTATAAAACATTAATGGGATCAAACGAAGTCGGCTTTTTAATAGGTTTAAAAAAGTGGGTTGTTCAGAGTTTCTTTTTAGGCCCAATATTCTTCTCGGGATTGGTGTGGTAAAAAGACTTCAATTCTCCTATAAATACTCACTCTTTCTTTCTCTTCTCTACGCTTCACTCCTTCCTATCTATAACTAAATTTACACAAAAACTCTTCCTTTTCTCAAGAAACCCTATTTAGGGTTAAAAATGGCTCTCTTTGTATTTTTCCACAGCTTTCTTGAACTGCATATATTAGAAAATTCACACCATATAAAAACCAATTATCATTATTGGAGGTGAAAATAAAAAAAATTATTGCGGTTCAATAAAGCTGTGGGAAGATACAGATAGTGTCAAGAAATTACAATTCTTGAATTTTCAGTTACAGATTTTTATTTTCTATATAATGATGCATGGTTAGATCCATATTTATTTTTTGGTGAACTTTCTATATATAGAAAGAATTTTCTTACTGTTATTACTGACAAAGTGTTATTGTGATTATTATTGTCTTGCAGGAAATTAAAAGGTGTTCATAATGATCTACTGTTTAAGGTTCTTTTTCAAGAGATATTTCTCTGATTTTATTTCTATGTGTTGTGTGTGTGTGTGGATGGGTTAGTTCTATACAGATAATACTTCTGTGGAAATATATGTTTGGGATTTACTGATTTCCAAATTTGGTTTATGTTGATCAAAATTTGGATGTCCTTTTGATATTTATTTTCTCTTCCTTCTCAGTTTTTGTACTTAATGTGATAAATTCTTGGATTAAGATCTTATCGTATGAGTTTAAGTTTATAAATTGCTATAAATTATTCTATATAAACCACAGTTATAATTAGCTTTTTAATTGGAGCCTTGAGTTCTTGCGCACATTAATTTTAATCCTGAATATTACTCCCGTTTTTCAAGCCTTTAGCCTTGACCCTTGGCTGGCTTTGAGCCGAGGGTCTATTAAAAACAACCTCTCCGTCCTACAAGGTAGGATAAAGTTGATACACTATCTTTCCTAGACCCCACTTCTGAGCCCGAGGGTCTATCGAAAACAGCCTCTTTTGTTACTGTTGTTGTTGTTCACACCCCATCATAATATCTCTGGCTTATTGTTCTTGAAAAGCAAGATCCGAAATGGGGTATAGGGCTTAGATAAGGAAAAAGAGAATAGAGGGAGTTATAAACATGAAATTTAGAATCACAATGTTGTGGAAAGCAATTTGTATTTTCTTTCAATTTAATTAGCAATAGTTTTACATACAAAATCCAGTTTCTTAGTCATATTCTTATTCCTACATCAAATTCATGGCTTCTTGCTTGCTTGGGCACTATATCTACTAGTATATATTATATAGGATCTAACTTTTTCTAATGTGATCTAATTTTTAGTACTCTTCTTGAGATTATTTATTTTCCACCTCTTTTCTTTCATAGGCTAAGACAAAGTGAAATGCATGACCACCATTTCACCTCATAGCTTGTGAATGATGTGATCAAGAATGTGTTGCTATTGAATGTTTATTTGGACCACAAGGTTGGCATTGCCCTCTCATTTGGAATCTTGCTAGCCAACTATGTTTTATGCACACATTAGAGTCCATTTATATGGATTAAGTAAAGCATATTGTAGGGAAAAATTTTATGCAAAAACCGGATCGAAGAGTGTAGTGAGATGGTTGATATCTCTCCGCCCTTGATTAGATTTTCGAGTTCGAACCCCGAGAGTAGAAAACCTTTTAGGACGGAGTACTTTACCCCATTAGTGGACTTACCGTTAGTAGGTCCAGAGGCGGAGCCAAGATTTAGAGCTTATGGGGCTCGATGTTTTAGTCCTTTTGAAGTTATTGGGTTCTAAAATAACAATTTGCACATATTCAATGAATTTCTTAAGACAAATACATGGTTTGAACAAAAACGTCTGGGCTCGGCCGAACTCGTAGTTGATGGGCTAGCTCCATCTCTGAGTAGGTCTACTCAATATGAATCTGAATTAGTCGAGTCAAGTAAGTAATAGTCCTATCCGAATCTGAATTAGTCCGGCCAAAGTGAAAAAAGAAATAAGTGTGTGCATACATTGATGTGAGACTAGACTGGACTAGGCTAGCAAATTTAACCAAGCAAATGTATACTCCTCTTTTTTTATTTTTTACCTAGGGAAAGAAACACGCGAAGTCAAAATCTTGCAGAAGAATTAAAATTGCTAAAATAAAAGAAATATTAGGGTCTTTTTTTCCCCTTACAATGGCAAAGACAACTATGTAGCAAGGAACATATACTATATTGTTTTGTCTTGTTAAGGCTGACATCCTTTATATCAGACCAACAGTTGTTGCCTGTTCTTTGGATGGAATAAAGAACATTTTAATAAATATTTTATAAACTATTGTTTTTGTTTAATTTAAGTTGCTTGGTCCATTTTTTAGCCAGGTCATACACATCTGTACTGAATTATAATTAACATTAAAGTAACACAAAAATTTGGATTTATTTAATTATTTATTATTTTGCAGGATCTAGTTTTAACATAGCTGGAATAATGAATCCATTCAAGCAATGAACAAGCCAGCTGTGATATTTTCTGTAGCTTTTTAACTTTCTTAATATGTTGCAATAATTCTCATTATTAAAGTTCTTAACTTAAAAAAGTAAAAAAAAAAAAAAAAAGCAAAGAAAAGTTGTAATCTTCCTTTATTTGCTGTAAGATTCTAGGCTAGTGCTTAAAATTTTACGTTTGTTTATTGGTATTTGTTTGCTTTACTTTTAGAGGGTCAAGCTCTTCAATTATTCAGGCATTATTGGTTTAAAGTTAAACATATGGGATCAACATGCAATTAAATTATTATTTGGAGACAGCTACCAATTAATTAACCAAGTCAAAAAGGTTTGTATTGTGTTTGTCTAATAGGTAAGTGTAATTTTGCATGTGGACAAAAAGATAGGGTTGAAAAGTTAAGATTAGACACCTATAACACCTTTTGTTTATTTATGGTGGAATATGAAAAAAATTTAGTATAGTACTAATACAAAAGGAGTTGCATTGGATCAAACATAATCTCTTATGTTTGATTTGCCTGTCTTAGTACTGTTTGAACCTCTCTTGTCCATGAAAAGATACCACACAAGCCAGAGTTTATGTTGCATGAGCAGAGGCGGAAGCAGGATTTTCACCAAGAAAATTAAAGAAATAAAAAAGATAAATACGCGAAGAAGTTACGAGGATTCAAAATCTAATACATATACATAAAATAAAAAGTTGACCTTATATACACAATGTAATTTTTGACGAAGGCCGAACCCCCTTCCGCCTACCTAGCTTCGCCCCTGTGCGTAGACTCTCTAAAGTTGTTGTCGCATCTATGTCGGATTCTCCAAAAATGTACTACTTTTAGGAAATCGAACAAGTACGTGATAATATTTTTGAAGAGTCCAAACAATAAAGGCAGAGTAAAAGAGACATCAATAATACTAATTTGTGTAAATATATAATTTGGAGTTTATATTAGCCACTTGTTCTTGTTTCTTCTTTTTGCACATGCATTATTCATTTTGTATGCCTGCATTCTGCATGCCTGAATTTTTGCTGCTTTGGTGCAGGAAAGATGGGTGCTCTTTTGTATTTTTTGGGAAGTTTCTTGGGATATGGTTTTTGGTCATGGGGAAGGTAATTTGACCATGTTAATATTATTTGCTTAAAAATTTTTGTGCATGATTATTTCTTTGAATTCCAATGCAAACTCTTTCACATCTCCTAAATTACAACTTGCTATTTTAACTTCCATTTCTTTCTTTTTTTTTTTCCCTCCTCCCTTTCCCCGTGAAAAAATTTCTAGTACTCCCGTCTCAAATTAGTCGTCGTTTCTATTAATAGTTGTCTCAAATTATTTGACATTCTAGAAGTTCAAAAGTAAATTAATTATTTTTTTTCCTATTCTACCCTTAATATTAATTATTCTTGAAGACTACAAATACTTTAATTATGAGTAAGTATTAAATGAAGGAAGATTATATCTGAAAACATAAATAAGGATAAAATAGTCAAAAATCTTTCCTATTTAATGTTTTTTAAAGGGGCATATAAAATAGAAAGACGACATATAATTTGACACGGATGGAGTATCAAACAAACAACTTAGATTCGGACTTTGAATATTGTGGGTTCTAAAATGAAAATGTGAGTTCTAAAATATATATTTAGTCCTATTTATACTTGTTCTTCACATATATACAAGGTTCATAACAAACATTAAACAGTAACTTCTACCCTAGATCCACTGATTTTTTTATTTTATTTTTATATGTTATACTCAGCTTCATCTTAGTTTTATTTCAGTAACGGCTAAAGAGTAAGTTGATATGTGTGGTACAAGAGTAGTTGCAAATGTAACTACTTGATATTATGGCCATGTTGCAAATGGAGCCAATAGCTATATGTTTCAAGTCCATTTCATGGTAGACAAAGTTCCCATTAACTATTGAGGGGCCATTTTCACTATCCAATAGCAATGTAACCATGTTGGAGTTAATCATATGTTTTTATTTGATGCTTTTTCGATTGATAAAAAAGAAAGAAAGAAGAAGTTAAGTGAATGGCCAAAATCCAAATGCCAATTAGCTATTAGCGACATGAATATTTTTATTTCTATCCAACATCTTGGGACGGCAATTATTGCCCTTTCTTTTAACTTTTTCTTCTCTCGCACCATTGTAGTTACAAGGTTTCGACAACAGCCATATGCTCTGAAAATCATTGGCTGCCTTCATAGATATATTTATATACCTCTTCATCACTTCCTTTTTCACGAGAAGGGGAGTCCTGGAGCAACGATCAAGTTGTTTTTATGTGATATATATATATATATTACGAGTTCGAACCGTAAAACCAGCTATTGATATTTGTATTAGGGTAGGGTGCCTACATTACACCCCAAGGAGGTGCGCCCCTTCCTCGGACCTTGCGTTAACACAGGATGCTTTGTGCATTCACTTATAACAGCTTGTTTGGATGGTTGTTACATATCGTTTCATAATGTATCGTATCGTGTTGTACTGTATCGTTTGATGAATACAATGTTTGGATAGATTGTATCGCATGCCGTAGTTTCATGATATCATGCACCAGCAATATGAAGAATAAACTTGCACTATTATATAGAAAAATTATGATACGGGATAAAATTGTTATATAAAAAGGTAGGATAAATGATGAAATAAAATTATTTAATAGTAATGAAGGGTGAGATGAGAGAAAGAGACAAGATAACGACGCGACCACAGAAAATCGGTCGTTACATAAAGTGGTACATTTCGTCGTTACGTAACGACGTATTTAACGATACGACAATAAATTTTAGTTAAAATAGCAACGGTATAGCCAGTTTTCGGACTGGTCATTCAAAAATAGCCAGCGTTTACCACGTCAATGAAAAATAGTCACTATTTTGTTGCAGCAGAGACCGGTATAATATACTGAATTTCGGTGCACATGTGTACAAACTCCAGCATATTATGCTGGACCGGTATACTTTGCTGGCTCCAGTATAATATACTGGAAACTGGAGCACCGGTGCTCCAAACTCCAGAATATTATGCTGGACCGGTATACTTGGTGGAACTCCAGTATATTATGCTGGAGTTCTAGTATACTTATGCTGGAACTCCATCATATTATGCTGGAGTTCCAGCATACTTATCTTGGAACTCCGGTATAATATACTGGCGTATTTTTCGGGTTTTGAACAGTGTTTTCGCTCAGATTTTTCTTTACATGAAAAGTAGCTAAATTTCGATTACTTTTGAAACCGGGCTATTTTTGAACGACCAGTTGTAAATCTGGCTATTTTTGAATTTTACAAGTAACAATCAAAACAAACATCGTATTTAAAGTAACAATACGATACAATACAATAGGTAACAACCATCCAAACAAGCTGTAATGTTCATGTATGAATGATGAGACATGTAACACTTATAGTCAAGTTTCATTCGTTCACTAATACATTAGGAGTATATGTTTCTGTGAAAAAAGAAAAGTAGTCTTTTCCATTCTTGAGAGCTCAAAAGAAAAGCCATCTCAACAAATCAATGATATCTAGGTGCACAAAGCATCTCGTATTCACGCAGGGTTTGGGGAAATGCCCCACCAAAGGAATGTGTTGTAGACAACCTATCCTAATTAATGCAAGCATTAATGACTGCTTCCACAACTTGAACGTCTGTCCTATAAGTCACACAGAGACAACCTTACCGTAACTTCAAAACTCCCCTTCTATCTCAACAAATCGATATTGTAGTCGATATATCGAGAAAAAGAAAATGCTTCCATTATTATTGTCAACGAATTTGCAGCCAAATAGTTGGCTGGAAGAATCAGCAAGAGATCGAATAATATCTTCGCAAGTTCGGCAGAATCCAATGCAGTATATGTGTGTGTTTGCATGCACGCACAACATATAGTAAAATTTAATATACATTTCAGAACTTACTTTCTAAATTCAAACTCTGTATGTACATGTTAGCTTGAGATAATAAAACTTGGACAAAGGAACTCTAACCAATAATAATTGAATGATTAGTAGCAATCAAGCAAACTGGATCTGATTTATTCACTAATATTGCTATCTAGATTAGTAGCTAGGTCTGGTTCTCTGCATGTAATTAACTACACATAACTGTGTTATATAACTGCAACAATAATTCAAGAAAAAATCAGAAAACTTTATGTTGCCAGCATTTTGCAACTCACTTATGTCCTGCTAGTTTGCCAGAAATGATTTTTCTACTAGTATCCTAATTACAACTCTGACATGGTTTACAATATTATATACTAAAATCCTCAAATATTAGCCGTCGCAATAAAGATACGAACCACCAAATTACTTTAAGCATCTTCAACTCCCTCTTTAATTTAATTATGACAAAAACAGATATACTATGGTCCAAAGAGAACCTAATTGATGTGCTATAGAGTCATCAAAACGCTTGTTTCTTTCATATTTTGGACCTTAGCTGGATGGAACAATATGTTATTGCTGAAACACAAAAGAATTGAAATCTTATATCGAAACACTATGTATAGATGGTATGAGCTGCTTAAACAAGAATTCTTGAACATCAAACAACCAGTTCAAAAACCCACTAAGTAAAACAATTAAGAAAAAAATGTGCGTTGTTGGAATGTTTCCGCAGGCTTAATAGAAACTCAATAATTTCTGGGAGCACTAGCACGAGCAAAAATGGTTGAAATTTTATGATTCGAAGCAATTGAGCGAATAGGCTTGACTATATTTAGGAAAAAAAAAAATGCCTTCCATAGGAACATTACGACTCAAGATTATTTACTTAATACTGCATAATAGATCGATATAAACAACATAAGCTATCCCGGCCCATAATAAATCTAATTTTTGTTGATACCTTCTTTGGATATTTATGTAAGTTTGAGAGGTTAAACAAAAAAAAAAAGGTAAAATTATGTGTAAATAATAGGAGTACTATATATACTTTTTAAAATTCACAGAGAGCAGCCATCCCTTATTGTCTGGCCTATTTAAACCAAAACATAGAGTATACCCTACTATTTACCTATCAATTCAAAGACTTATTCATTTCCATAGGAAATGCATGATAACAGGTACAGTAAGTTAAACTACTTCTCCTCAAAATTGTTATGAATTGCTTAACTATCAGTGGTATGCTGAAAGCAACCCCTTTTACCCCCCCCC